TAGCTTTAAAAGTTCAAGAAGATCACAATATCACAGTAACCCCTCAAACAAATAGAAATCGTATTAGAGAATAAGGATATAGAGGTAAAGTAGTTCGAAAAAACCTTTTTAACTTCAAAACAAATGAAACGCCGATTAGATTTGCAAAGATGTACGAAAAAAATGCTGATATTTTAATGGAAAAATATTTTGTGGTCAGATGAGTCCAAATACAACCTTGTCTCATTGGATGGAGTTTAAAAAGTGTGAAAAAAAAAGAAGTTTATAAATTAAATTGTTTGCGAGGTAGTGTAAAGCATGGAGGAGGAAATGTGATGGTTTGGCGTAGTATGAGTTGGAAAGGTGTGGGGAAATTGACATTTATTGATGAAAAAATGGATGCTTCAATGTATTGTGAAATTCTTAAAGCCAACTTGTGACCATCTACTAAAAAATTGAGAGTGGGAAACGATTTTATACTGCAGCAGGATAACGCTTCAAAACATACCGCTAAGAAAATGAAGGCATACTTTGACATAAACAACATCAATGTTTTGGAATGGCCATCTCAAAGTCTGGACTTGAATCCTATAGAAAATTTTTGGTATATTTTGGACAGGAAAATTGGTGACCGAGCATTTAGACGAAAAGACAACTTGAAAGAAGCTATAATGAGCGCATAGAATAATATAACAGCACAAGAGACTCAAAATTTGGTCAACTCAATGCCAAATCGTCTAGCTGAGACAATCAAGGCCAAAGGACGCCCCACTCGATACTAATTTCCATAAAGTTTGATCAATTTGACATTATTTTTGAACTGTACAATTATTTTTTTTGCAGTCAATTTTATGCATCATTAGATCAATTGTGTAAATTTCAATAGGTATGAAAAGCAATTAACTCACCAATACACAAATAAATTCTCAAAACAATACTTGATAAGATATCTAAAAAAAAATTTCAAATATTTTAACGGAAAACTAATTTTTTTGATGTAAGCTTTAAAATTACAACTTTTTTTCAAGTGAACGATTATTTTTTTTGCATACTGTACATATATATATATATATATATATATATATATATATATATATATATATATATATATATATATATATATATATATATATATATATATATACATATATATATATATATATATATATATATATATATATATATATATAGATATATATATATATATATATATATAGATATATATATATATATATATATATATATAACATGTATATATATAACATGTATATATATTGTTCATATATATATATGTATATATATATATATATATATATATATATATATATATATATATATATATTTATATATGAACATGTATATACAGTGGCGGCACAAAATAAGGATAAATCTGACAGAATCTAGCATTTTTTACATTTAAGAGGTTCTAACGAAAAAGATTTTAAGAGATGTATGTTTTCTTATCCAAATTATTGAACAAAACATACAGAGTGAACACATATGTAAAATAAACATTGTTTTATTAATATTTGGTATGGTATCCTTGAGCTTTAATCACACACCGCATACAGCTAGGCATTGAGGCAAAAAGACCATCAATTGTTGTCTGTGGGATATTGTTCCACACGCCTTTCAACAATACCCACAGGTCATCCAAATTGGATGGTTTCTTTCCCTCAATGCTCCTAGACATAACACTCCATAAATTCTCGATGGGGTTCATGTCTGGACTCTGAGCAGGTCAGTCGAGCACGTCCACTCCATTTTGACGAAGGAAATTGGTTACCTTCTTTGCTTTATGACATGGCGCATTGTCATGCTGGAAGATAAACCGATTTCCTTGTCCAAACAGAGTATCAACAGATGGTAGCATTGAGTCCTAAAGCACCCCAATGTATTGGTCTTGGTTCATGGACCCAATGCACCAATACAACTGCCCTGCCCTGTGTCCAGACATGCACCCCCAAATCATAACACTACCACTGCCATGCTTCACAGTTGGTGCAATACAGTCTTTTTTAAACTTTTCACCAACTCTTCTTCTAACAATCAGTCTCTTTGCCCCACAGAATAGTTGATTTAAACTTTCATCGGAAAAAAAAACGTTTTTCCAGTCCTCGACAGTCCAGTCTTTTTGCTCTCCTTGCAAAGACTAACCGTCGCCGAACATTGGCAGGGAGCAAAGGTTTCTTTGCTGCCACATACCCTCTCAATCTGGCTTTTTGTAGTCTCTTCCGCACAGTTCTGGAGGCCAAATTAACTCCATGTTCCTCTGACAGTCTCCGGCTTAGTTGTGGTGCAGTCAGGCGACGATCCTGAAGTGACATGCGGACCAGCACCCGATCAGTATGAGCCGTCGTATTCTTTGGCCTTCCGGAACGTGCCTTTTCTGCTGTAGAACCTGAATTCTGATATTTCTTAACAATTTTCCTGATGCCGCTTGCAGTAGAACCCAAAATTGTTGCAATTTTACTATAATTTTCACCATTTTCTGCCATGAAAACAGCACGAAGGCGCTCTTCCTGCGACAAGCGACAATATTTTACCATTTTTTCTACAATAAAAAATACTGATACTAGATCATTAAATTAAACTAAAACAGATAAAATAATATTAATACTGATAGTGAAGCTGTCAAAATGGAAGCAGATGCTAATAAAACACAAAAAAATTGGCAAAAGTAAAAAAACTTGGTTGAGAATACCTTAAAACTCAATAGTTATCCTTGACTGCTGGTTCTCATTAACCATATTGGGCTTTAAATGACCTTAAATGACCTTAAATGGTGTATACTGACTCAATATGTGATTGGTAATATTATAAACATATATTTTTTACCAATAAGTAATGATGACATTAATATCACAATAAAGGCACATCACTTACCTCTACTGTCTTGTTTCCTATGCTTAAAAGATGATAAACAACTTTCCAATGTGTTATATTAATTTATCAAAAAAAAACAAGTGCTTGTTGCTAAGGTAAACAGGAAGTGCAAAGATATTGACGTGTCAACACAACAGAAATCAATAAATGTAGCTATAACGCTTTCATCTGGTAATTATTTGGACATATATATATATATATATATATATATATATATATATATATATATATATATATATATATATATATATATATATATATATATATATATATATATATATGTATATATATATATATATATATATAAAAATATATATATATATATATATATATATATATATATATATATATATATATATGTATATATATATTCTACAAAAGGAAAATGCGAGTCTCCCTTAATAAGGATTTAGATAAAGCATGTAGCTTTTAAACACTAAATACCAAAACATTCCTGTGTAATTCTGCGTCAATAAATCTTGAAATCTCGATATTATCAAAAAGTCATAACGAGAGCTTTTTTTAATTTGGCCGCTCCCAAAGTTGGACAACATTTATATACCCTTTAGAGTCCGAGTTAATGGGATTCTACTGTACTCTAAACATTACAAAGGAGTAGGTTTGCCCACTGCCAATGGGGCATGTTGGTCATAAAAAAAACTGGTCTTCAACAAATTTTTTTGTTCCTAAATAGCTTGTTTTTATTTCAATTATATTTTATGCTTTAAAATTTGGTGTAAATAATAAGAATTTAATAAATAAGAACTTTATGCTTTTTTAGTATTTAGAGGGTTTCATACTAAGGTCCAACATATTTTAAATTCAACTTATAATTTTTTTTTTTAATTAAAAAATAAAAATAAAACATATTTAAGGAAAGAAAAAGAATTTGGTGAAAATTAAATTGATCCCTATTTTATACCTCTGGGCCAACTGCGGGGCACATTAGCCCATCAGACATAACCTAACAATTTAAAATGTATTTAACACCGATTATGAACTTTTAATATTGTTATTTATGGGTAGTCTAGAGTCTTGTCAACTTTTTTCCATAAAAAAATAAAGTCAAACATGAAAAGCTAAAAAGTTAAAAATTTTAAAATAAACAAACCAAAAACTGAAAAACAAATGATAAAACAAATAAAATATAAACCAGAAAAAATAAAAGCATAAAACTAATATATTTTTTAATTTAAAAGCATCTCAATAGTTCAAACTTAATTCAAAAGCGTTCCAATTAATAGTGCAACCCTCGGAATTAGAATTGGCTATGCTGACCTAACTGCCGACCTAAGATTGTTTGAGGTCGGCAAAAAATTGCAGACCTTGTTTCTATGTTTTAAGACCTTTCTATCAATTTTTTTTTCTGACCTGATTGACCTCTAAAAGATTAAGGTGGGCAAATTATTGCCAACCTTATTTGTTCTAACTTCAAGAATTGATAGTGTAAAGCTAATAATTTTTCTTTTATCACCACATTGTTGTAGCGCATAGGTTGATTAATTGTGTCATTTATGATTGGCAATTACATCAGGTTACATCAGCAATGTTCAAGAGTTCTAATTTTATTAACAGAAATTTTTTTATTGTAATATTTTCTTTGTAGACATTAGAAAATATCAAAGTTTCAAATTTTTAAATAATTAAGCTTAGATTAAATAACTTTGAAACTTTGATTTTTTCTAAATTCTTCGTAGTGAACCATTTTTAAATTAAAATAAAAATATATTATGATTATATATTTATGATTTTATTTTTTCTGGTTTATTTTTTATTCATTTTATTGTTCATTATTTAGGCTTGTATTTATTTTATAATTTTTTATTTCTCTTTCCAGTTTATAGATTTCATTTTTTATTTTAATTTAAGTTTACATTTGTTTACTCGAAGCATTTTTAAATGCGCTAACTTAAAACATGTAAAGTACACTGGCCAAAGTGTCAAAACAAAATGGTGTGTGCATGGTCATATAAGGAGTGTGGTAGCAGGCCTTTCCTGAGAAGGCTTGATATAGATATACATATAATATTTAATTTTGATGAATCATTAAACTTAATTGTTCCAAAATAAAACAGTGTTTATTTTAAAATTAAAACAAGTTTAAAATACATAAATTAATGAATAAAAGTTTTTACCTAGCATAAACTATATCCCAATCTACTGGTACTCCAATGGAACTAATTTACAAATTAAAGATATGCAAATCATTATTAAAGTTAAAAAACAATGAAAAAAAAACAAAAAAAAAACAATTAGTATATTTGATTAAAAATGATTTATAACAAGATTTTTATAGCAGTAAAAATATATATGCTTAAGCTCTCCATAAATGTATCTTCCAAAAACCTGAAAATATTTTATAAAAAAACTCACAGGGAAAGTATATAACTTATGTTTGTATTAATTGAACATTTCAAAAAAGATTCAAGTCTATTAATTCAAACTTTCAATTTAAAAGTTTAAATTAAAAATATGGGTTTAATATACAGTAAACTCCCGACATCTCAAACCCCGGATAACTTGTACTTCTAGTAACTCAAAGTATTGTTAAGTTCTCCTTGAACCCTCACTAATTCTTTCTCAATTTTTTCTCAAGATGAACCATTTTATTTGTTCCTGTGATAAATATTCTTCCAATAACTCAAACTTTAAAAAAAAAATTATAACAATATCTTAATAAAAATTATTATTTTTCTTTAATTAAGTTAAACTTTTTGCCCTCAAGCGCAGCCAAGTTTCCCATCAAAATTTGAAGTAATTTATTTAAACCGCAATGAAGGCTTTGCATTGCAATGTTAACAATATTACCAGTTTTGATATTAGAATAGTTTATAGTACAAGTTATGCTAACGTGTGTTGGAATATTATAGTAAAATTTTAGTATTGTGTTTACATTTTACAACCACTACTGTCGCTGTAAAGAGAAAAACCAACACAAAATCAATTAAAGAAAAGTACACTGCTTTAAGGGAAATTGGAGAAGGATTGTCAAAGTCTCAGGTTGCTTTGAAATATGGCATTCCAAAAAATATGCTGTCAACATGGATCAAAAATAAAAATAAAAGTTTCAAATCTATGAAGATTCAAAGGAAACAGCAGTATCAGCATCACTTCTAAAAACTTGCTGAAAAGATTAATATCAAAGGATTTCAAGTATCTGATGGTTGGCTTGATCATTGGAAAAACAGATGTTTCTTTCAAGATGGTAACTCTTGTACAGCTGATATGACCATGTCATGGAAGGAAACAAATCTCCCTACAAAATTCAAGGTATAAACTTGATGAAATTTATAATGCAGATGAATTTGGATTATTTTTTCGTATGTAACCTAATAAGTCACTAAATCTGAGGCTTCTATAGGGGGAAAGCAAAGTAAAATTTTTCTTACTGGGATGGCCACAGTAAATGTAGCGGGTGATAAAATTCCTATGTTTGTAATAGGTAAATATAATCACCATGCTGCTTCAAAGGAGTTTAGCACTTATCTTGCAGATACAGAAATAAAAATAAAAGCTGGATAGATATCGTACTGTTTGAAGAGTAGATACAGGAAATGGATACAAAGGTTACAAAAGAAAAAAAAGAAAGTAGCATTTATAATAAATAACTGCCCAGCACACCAGACGATTGATAATCTAAAATCTGTTGAGCTCATTTTTTTACCACCAAATACCACATCTAAACTTGAACCAATCGGTCAGGGTGTTATACGCTGTTTGAAAGTTTATTAAAGATCTTTTTTATTACAAAGATAAAGATCTTTGTTATTACAAAGTTGTAGCTATCGATAAAAGGATAGATCTTCCTATTTTTTCAATTTAAGATGCAATGAAAATGCTTGATCTTGCATGACAAAAAGAGAAAACCTACACCATCATTATTTGTTTTGCAAAATCAGGAATTTTGGAAGAAAAGCAAAAGCCTGTTTGGATGAAGAGGATGACCCATTTAAAGAACTTTAAAATCAGATAGAAAAACTAATAATTTTTACCCTCCAGGTACCCTCCAGCTGAAGATGTTATTGCTGCAGATGAAAACTTAATGAGCATAATACCTGTACTAACAAATGAACAGTTTTTCATCTGTTAGAGTTTTTTATTAAATTCGTAGGATAATTAGAAAGGTCAAAGTGTTTTATCACCACATTGTTGTAGCGCATATTATAACCATTTATTTAGCACTTTTTAAAAGTTTAACAAAAATTGAAGAGAGTTCTAGAAGACACCTTTTTAAGGCTGATTGAAATATTGTCTGGAGCACAAATTGTAGAAGCATTTTGAGTGATTTGGATGTTTAACAACGGGTTAATCTGTTTAACTATCAGGATGAGTATTGCTATTATATTCAAGAGTCAAATTAGAGTAAGATTTCTTTGCAAACAACTCTGCTATATTCTGGGGAGAAGTAAAAAGATCAGACCCATGAATTAGAGATTAAACATATATGTTTGCTATTTATTTAGATGCTGGCATACAATATCCTTTCATTGTTATATAAACTTTAGTATTTGTATGGTATAGTATTTGCCGAAGGAGATGATTTGATGGATGTGGTGTGACTCTAGCAAGACAAGAAAAGGAGGCATTGACTATGACAGATTAGAAAAAACATTGTATCAAACAACATTTGTTAGAAAAGATTAAAGTAATTTAGGTATCAGCATGTAGAGAGGTAGCATCTTCAGTATAAAATAGTAGAAGTAAGAAAACTAGAAGAGAGTGCCTTACATATTGCATGAATGAACTTTAGTTAAGAAAAAAAAATGCTCTAGATTGTTTATATTAAAGAAACAGATGATGATGATTATCATCATCAACATCACCATCATAATGATGATGATGATGATCATCATCATCATCAGGCTTTAGCCTTTCTCTTTTATACTGTTGTTGTTGTTAATGATGATGATGATGATGATGATGATGATGATGATGATGATGATGATGATGATGATGATGATGATGATGATGATGATGATGATGATGATGATCATTATCATAATCATCATAATAATAATGATGATTATGATGATCATATTGATCATAATGATGTTTATATATGCATTTATATACAAAATATAATATGAATTTTGAATTAAAAATATATACTTTAGGATGTATAAATGTTTATGTAGCCCTGGCCACAAACCTGGCCACAGCCCTGGCTATATTTTATCAAAGCCAGCCCCGGTGAAATATTAAATCCGGTCATTTACTACTCTTAGTATGCTTTCAACAACTCAACTACTCTAAAAAATCATTACTTTGCATTTTTTAAATGGGTAATTCCACATCAAATCACCCAGTCCATTGAACCATGTGTCTTCTTTTTATTTTATATTTTGACACATTCCTAATTATAAAAAAATATTGCATGTAAAATTTCAGCTAAAAATGTTTAGCGGTTGACAAGATACTGCAATTTTAATATTAACCTGGTTTCCCATAATGACCCGGTTTTCATAACATTCTAAAAAACTTTTTTTTTTTAAATAAGAAACAAAAATGGCAAAAATATGAAAATAAACATATTTTATGTTTTTTTGATGCTGAATTCAATAAATGTACTTAAAATGCTGAAATATAAAAGGAATATGCTTAAAAGTTAATAAAACAACTAGTTTCTGTAAACCAACTTCGAGGCCTAATATCTCAAAACACCTTCATCAATTTTTTTTTTTTTTTGCTGTTAATATTTTCAGCTGTTTATAATCTTACTAGGCACAAAATATCTAACTGGAAAAACAACTGAAACATATGGAACTTTAATTTCAACAATGTATTACTTTTTCAAGAAATTCCCCAAAAATACTTGTAAATAAAATAAAAATAAGAGAATTGTAATTTAAAAAGGTACTTGAATATACAAGATTTTTAAAGGTATCGAAGATGTAAGTTATTTTGACTGTGTTGGTAATAGTTCGCAATATTGTTTCCATTTTATTTGTACTTGTGGAACAGATAGATTTTTCAATATGTTGGTGTTGGGAATAAAACAGTAGTTGTCTCTTTCAGGCCAGTTAAAACAGATTGATGGACCTTTTGGGTGAAGAAACTTATCTTTAGCATCAACTTTTTCTAGGTTGGTTTCAGTTGTAATGCTGATCCACCACTTATCATCATAGACTACAGCTATATAACCTCCTAAAGTGACAGTATCAGGTTGAAATATATCTTGTTTCTTTTAAAGATTGTAGATTATTGTATAATTAGTGTCCGTACTACACCTCTTTGCCCCAACCCTCTATCTCTAAGATGTATAAAATGATGAAAGCTACGAGTACCAGGTAGAGTTGTTATACCAGTGTACCTTTGTAAGTCTATATCTTAACAACCTTGATTTTCTCAATACAAAATTCATACATAGCTTCTGATGTGAGAATTTGGTTTCTGTATGTTCGTTTTAAACTTTCTTGCGCTGTTAACCTTTTTACAGTACCGCCAATCCCATCGCATGGTGACTTTCCATAGGATGTGGCAAAAAATTTTCATTCAATTTTAAGGGCAAATTTGCTCTCTAGTTGGCATAGATTGTAAAAGCTTTTACAATTTTTGTACTGTCCTGCACAACCATCAGTGAATAAATGTAATTTGGACAGAGTGAAAAATTTTGTTTTTAAGATTGGTATGATTAGTTGAAATATTTTGTACACATAAGTTACATCATGTGTAATGTCGTCTGATATAAAACAGTAAGAAATATGTTTCAGTACACCTTTATCTTCTTTATAGTATATCACTAATGGATGTAAAGAACAGTGTTGGGTGTTCCAACGATAGCTTTGTATTTCATCTTGTACTACAAAAGTATAAATTTCAGCAGTCACTAATAATAATAATGTTTGATTGATCCATATTTTGTTATAGTTGGTTAAGGTACTGTGATTGAGAGTGAGCAATAAAAGAATGAGCTTGTAGCTTTTCAAAGTAAAATAATAGTTCAACAAACGTTGGAATATCTGCTGTTAAACTCAATAGTGTTGCACGATCAGTAGTTTGCCATTGCTTGTAGTGTATCTCAAAATCATCTTCGTATTCTCCAAAAATCTCATACAAATATTTGGTGAGGGTTTCTTTACCAGGACAATTATCACACTGTGCAAGCATGCATTCTTTGTTTTCTACTGAGCAAACAGATTTTGAAAGTAAATCCTTATACTTTAGCCCAATATTTAAGGCATCTACTAGCAATATGGCATTTTAGTGATAAGAACAAACACAAACATAATGTGTACCACTTGCACCTGGCAAAATGCACCACTTTGGCCTAAGTGAAGCAAATTTTGAGTAACTTATTTGTATTTCTGGATTGTTTCCTTTGTATAATACATATAGTTCCTTTAAATTACACAAAAGCAGTTTTTTTTATTTATGGACATTCTTTTAAATGCTAACATAATCTTTTTTATAAAACAATTTCAGAGTCTTCTATTTCTTTGTGTAAGACTTTAACTTTATGGAACGGAAAGATAGCTAACAATCTTTTTTTATTAAAAATTTGTCTAGCCATCTTTGCTTGGTATCCTGTAACTGCAAAGTTATTTTGTATTTCTAATATTGACCAACTTATGGGTGCCAGTGTTAGAAGTTGAACAATAGTCCTTTTATCAAGCGTTTATCAAGCATTTTTATTTGGAAAAACATTTTTATTTGGAAAAACGGAAAATACTAGGGCAAGTTATATTTATATATATATATATATATATATATATATATATATATATATATATATATATATATATATATATATATATATATATATATATATATATATATATATATATATATATATATATATATATATATATATATATATATATATATATATATATATATATATATTTATATATATATATATATAATATTATATATATATATATATATATATATATATATATATATATATATATATATATATATATATATATATATATATAAATATCTAAAAAGAAAATTTACAATATCTATCAGTGTAAAAAAGGTTTGAATTATTTCTATATTGATTTTTTTATTTTAACTCAAAATTAAGTAGAAAAGAAGAATTCTCTTTTTTTTAGGAAATACATTCATACTAAGTTATTTATTATAAGATGTGTTCTATTGGCTTAATGACATCAGATGAAACTTTCAGTGACGTATCCAGAAGTTTTTTGGGCATACCGGTGTAAAAGTCCTCACAACATCAAAATAACCTTTTTTTTTTTTTTAGAAAACTTAAAAGATTTATATATAAATATAACTTGCCCTAGTATTTTCCGTTTTTCCAAATAAAAATGTAAATAATTTACCAAAATGACACCAACATCGATTGGTCGCTAATTTTCTTATACATGCTTTATTTGCTTACTAATATAAAGAGTAAAATCAAATTTATTTTTCATATTGCTTATCGAGAAGCAATAATATTCCTTCTCGAGAAACAATATCGAGAAGCAATAAGGAAATAAATTTGGTTACTTATGATAGATCTCCCATGAGTACTCTACTCGCGAGAGAAGCATTAACAATAAATAAGCGATAACTTTAACATTTCATTTTACAACATTACTTTACAACATTTTATAAACAAGCGATAACTAAAACATTTAATAAACAATGTTATGTTTCTTTTATATAAACTAAAAAGATTTATTACATAGTGTAATTATTGCATAACAAGGTCAATTCATTCAAAATTTTAATTAATTCATTCAAAAGTTAATGACTTTTTTTTCTTGTTCTTCTCTTACTTTTTAAGCTTTTCGACGTGATTATTATAATGTTATTACGTTTTAAAAACTTTTATTTATTTTATTATTTAAATTTTTTTAATGCGTGAAGAGTTGAAAATGTAAGCAGAGGAGAAATTCATATTAGAGTATTTTAAAAAATGCTAATGTTTTTAAAAATATAAAATGCTAAGCGTTTCATATTTTAATCCAATCAAAACGTGCACTTTACATTTTAATTGAAATGTAACATATTCCATATTTTATCCACATGAATTCGAATTAAGCATTCTGATAAACTTAAAACACATTAAAATGTATTTTAAAAGTCATTTTTCTAATGTTGGTTTCTCTAAGCAACATTAATAACATATCAAAAGTCATCATCATAATTATCATAACAAATTTTATCACAAAACATAAAGACAATAAGTAATAAAGAATTATTTTGTTTTAATTTTCTAGGTGCTAATGTAAAATTGTTTTAAATTGAGTTTTGGCAGAATTTTGGGGGCCCATACAGGTATACCGGTATCAAAACCGGCCTGGATACGTTGCTGACTTTTAATTATGAAAAAAAAAATAACTATATCATTACGCTGTAACATTGAGCTACCAAGCTTAACGATATTATGTGAAAGACATACTACAAAATATTTGAAAATGTATCCTATATGGAATAAAGCATGCTGTGATCCATTCAATAAACATACAATGAAAATCACAAGTAAGTAGATTAAATATTTCAATATATATACTTTTTTAATTTGTATTTTCCAAAACATAAACAATGTTTTAACAATTGTACTTTTAGAAAATCTTAGAGTAGTTACAATAAATGAGTGACAAGTCATGATGAAAAGTAGTTTGAATATTGCTCCTGGGAAAAAAATTTGCAAAATTTGTAAGCAAAAGATTACCAGAAAAGAAGATCTTAAAGAAGAGAAGCAAACTCAGGGTGAACAAGATGAGGATTTTCTAATATTATCATTCAAATCAAAAAGACAGGAGATCAATGGAGAACTCAAAAATTTTAATATACCTCCTCTAAAATCTCATTTAAAGCCATCAAAATATATACTCTCAGAAGGAAAGCGAAAAGTTGCGCCCATCAACGAAATAGTAAGTAACGTTACTAGAAAAACTGACAAGTCAAGTCAATGTTCCCTCAAAACTGTGTTATGAAACAAATAACATGAAAAAGGAGGCTGAAACTTTGATGAAATTATGAGCTTGATAAACGAAAAAATTCTATGTTCTGACAAAGGACTATTGTTCAACTTCTAACACTGGCACCCATAAGTTGGTCAATATTAGAAATACAAAATAACTTTGCAGTTACAGGATACCAAGCAAAGATGGCTAGACAAATTTTTAATAAAAAAAGATTGTTAGCTATCTTTCCGTTCCATAAAGTTAAAGTCTTACACAAAGAAATAGAAGACTCTGAAATTGTTTTATAAAAAAGATTATGTTAGCATTTAAAAGAATGTCCATAAATAAAAAAAACTGCTTTTGTGTAATTTAAAGGAACTATATGTATTATACAAAGGAAACAATCCAGAAATACAAATAAGTTACTCAAAATTTGCTTCACTTAGACCAAAGTGGTGCATTTTGCCAGGTGCAAGTGGTACACATTATGTTTGTGTTTGTTCTTATCACTAAAATGCCATATTGCTAGTAGATGCCTAACACTGGATTTAAAAGTGAAACTTTGAATAAAAAAACCTGTTTTGTACAGAATTAGAAATTTTTGAAAAAATAGTTTGTTTTTATATCACATATGTTACTATCTATGTTACTTTAATAAAAGACAACAGCTAAACAAAAATAATTATAAACTTAAAGGTGGTATAAAATAGAAACATAAATACAGAAAAACATAAATAAAGATTTACTGTTAATACCTAAACACATGTTTTACTGCTGCTGTTATTTCAGGACCAACACCATCACCCGGTATAAGAGTGACAGTCTTTCTTTCAGCTCCTTCAATCTCAAAAACAAATTTATACTAATTGAATATATTTATCATCAAAGACCTAACAAGATTGTTACAATACTTTTTCAATAATAAAAACTACATAAATTTTTTTCAAACTCACTGGATCATCAAATGAAGATATACTTCCAGCTGATGATGCATTTGATATCCAAGCAGTGACTAGCTATAAATAACACAGTTAAAAATTTAAATTTTCATAAGGTTTATTAATTTCAAAAACTTATTTTAACTTTATTATTAGAGTAAATTTTATTATAATAAACTTATTTTATATGATTATATAATAACTATACTGGTGACTACTGAAGCCGTCCAGTAAGGAAGTGGAAGCGGTGATTCTAAAAATAGATTGTTGATTATAGAGGTTTTAAGAATACAAAAGGATAGATATCCAGAGAAGTAGTGCAACTTGTTCCAAGTTGAAAAACTATCGCTGTTACAAAAAAAATAATATACTCATGTGACAGTGAGAGTACTGAGAAAAAAAAAGATACTTAATAGCAGGGATGCGGAGTCCCAAAAAGTTTGAAAGCCACAAAAAAATTACTTCTTCCAGTTTTTTGTTTTTAGGAGTTCTAAAAATATAAAAAATTTTATAGTCTATTATTAGTAAAAAATTTAAGACTTTTAGGTTTGAAGGACAATCAATTTTTGAACCTGGAGTCCTTAGGTATAAACGCAACAAGAACTCTGGGACACTGGGTTTAAAAACAGTAAGTTCTAAGACATTAAACTTCACGAATTTTGTTCTTATAGCAGATTATAAATCAACCAACATGTTTAGAGATTTTGGAGGTATATAGCTGGAGTTTTTTTAGGACTCTACATTCCTGCTTGATAGTATTATTAGTCATAAAACAAAAACTACAACAGTTAGTTTAAAGGTAATAATACCAAATACCACCTAGACACTAATGCAATAAGCAATTTGACTAAATACAGTGTTTATAACATAAGGCCAATATAAAAGTAAATCAGTAAAATCAATAAAGAAATAAAAATATCAATAAAGTAAATCAGGAGAAGCAGAGTTAAAAAATGTTGGTGTCGTTCAAATGAGAGTAGCAGATATATGATACCCCAACCTCAAGAATACATAGCAATCACTATGTCATTTCGAGGCTTGCACAAATGTCACTTGTCAGGGCAACAAATCTCACAGCCCCCATGATTTATATTATAAATTTTTGCTATTAATAGTAACTTAAAAGTAGCAACTTAAAAATATAAAATGACAAGATTAAATTAAAATTGATACCCCAGATAATTAAAGTAACAATGTTATTTCTATGTATAAAAGCAATCAAATAATCTTGTGAGCTTTATTAGTCAAATGTGTAAGCTGTATCACAAGTACAAGATGAATTACTTATCTTGAAATTAATCAATATAACACAAAGCAATATAATACATGCTTGACTAACTTACTATAATTTTAAGAAAAAATGATTTGGAGTTGAATTTGTTAAAAATATTTTTAGGCTTTGCTTCAAGTCTTCAATAAAGTTCCTTACAGTGGTGTGGAGTCGTAAAAAAAAAGTACAGACTCCGACTCCAGTCAGTGAAATTTTTAAAGTATAACTCCGACTACAAAGCAAAATTTTTGATAAATTCTATGAATTCTTTAAAAAATATTATGCAATAAGTTAAAAAAAATTTTTTTTGCCAAATTTATGAAAAGTTCTTTGAGAATTAGTATGAATACAAGGTTAATTGAATATTTTGTACATGCACGTGCAATACCAAGAAGTTTTACTAATGGAGTCAGAGTCGCTAAAAAAAATCGTGACTCCACTATGAATGTCGCGACTTCGACTCCGCCATACAATTCATAATAAACTATTCCAATAATTTAAATATTTGAAATACAGTTAATGTGAAGAAATGCAAAATGATCTAAATTGAATAAATAAAAACAACAATTTTACATTCTGTATAAATAACTTCACTTTAGAAGTTGTTGAGAAGAGTCAGATACTGTTTTAAATAACTTCACTTTAGAAGTTGTTAAGAAGAGTCAGGTACAGTTTTAAATAACTTCAATTTAGAAGTTGTTGAGAAGAGTCAGGTACAGTTTTAAATAACTTCACTTTAGAAGTTGTTTAGAAGAGTCAGGTACAGTTTTAGCATTGCATGTATTTTAGCTAGTATGCAAACTTCAAAGTATATAGAAGAATATATACTGAATATATTACTCACTGAATATATACCTTTAATTTATAAAAAGCAAATAATACAATTTTATACAAAGCTTATAATTATAATTTTATAAGTTTATAAGGTTGATAGTTGAAGTGTATTACAAACTTTCAAATTATAATTATTTTTAATTTTTTTTCTTTTTTTTTCAGAAATAAAAAATAAAATAATAATATGAATGCTAAAGAAATTTAATTAGACAAATAAAATAGGGTTAGTAAAATCAAAAAACATTAGTATTAATGACTTTTTATTATTTTACATAAAAAACATGTTAAAAAATAGAAAATATATTTTTTACAAATAAATAGCAATTAGTTTTCTTGCTTTCCTGTGCATTGATAAAAACAGTAAAGTTTAGCAAAAACATATGAAAAACAAATTTTAAAATTGAGTATTGCTCTGTAATTTCTTATAGGTTTATTTTGTCAAAATTCAAAATGTTTACTATATAAAAACATGGTCTTGTCTAAAAAAATTACTTTAAACGTGGGTAAACAAGGTGTGCAACAATACACACTTCCCGGGAAGGCTTGTAGATGCTACAAAAATGTTTATAAAAATGAATGAAAAAAATTTGATTAAAGAAGAACATTACTCTGTTGTTAAAGACCCTGGTGGTGACTATCTTTACTTTAAACAAAAGGTTACTGAAAATCAACTTTATTTTAAAAAAAATTTTACCAAGTTAGAATGCCCTAACTGCTCATAGAAGTAGGTATGCATAAATCCAACCTTAATGGAACCATTTTCTTTGTCCAAATTTTGTGTCATGCTTTTTTTAGTATTTTTAAGAGTGGCATGGATATGAACATGTTTTGCTGTGTTATTTTTTTTGAAATTTGTATCACCATACATTTTTTTGAGTACTACAATAGTTTAACTTTAATTCTTCATGGAAATATTTTTTTAAAAATTTTGTTTATAATGAATTTATTGTTGTTTAAAATTTCCTTATTGTTTGTGAATCAGGTATGTATTGAAGGAATGTCTAGACTTTTTTCTAATATATTCAGACATCAGCAAAAACTTTTTTGCTTGCTACCTGCCAAATTTTTTGAGCTCCGCTATACACACAGGTAGTTGGGGGAGGAAGTATCATAATAAACATTTGAAAATTAATATTGTTTAAATGTATATTATGATGTAAAATTATATTGAATAGTGTATATAAAATATAAAAAATGTAAAAAAAACTTTCAATAAAAAATAGAATTTTTTTTAAAAAAAAAACAACATTTTGAATACATTAAAAGGTGCTATAGATGCCCTTTCTAATGCCCTGTATACATCTTTTATGTATCCTTATTTTCCTTTTTAAGACCTTTCTTTTGATACCAAATTTTATTAATTTTGATAAGAATTGACAAAGTTATAAATTTTAAGTTAAGAAAAACTTAAAATTTGGTCACAGTTTTTTCAACTAACCCATATATTAAAAATTAGTACTTAAAATGCTATAACTTTTTTTAGAATTGTTCAATTTTGATAATTTGTTCACCCTTAAAATACTGTTTTCAAGGTCTTCCCAATGATATATAACAATCTAGTGTATGAATAATTTAAAAATCTCATGTCACATACCTAATAGAAATAGCCTTTAGTCTTATATTGCAGAACAAAATTTATAACTAACAATAATAACAAAAATAATAATAATAATAATAATAATAATAACAATAATAATAATAATAATAATAATAATAACAATAATAATAATAATAATAATAATAATAATAATAATAATAATAATAGTAAAAATAATAACAGTACTAATAACAATAAAAATGCTAACAATAATTATAATAATAGTATAAAAATCATAACAATATTAATGACAATAATGCACTTGTTATATAGATGTTACATAGTTATAGATACAAATTTAGGCAAACAAATAAAAACTGACAAAACATAACAACCAAAAATGACATGTAATAACTTTATGAACTAAAAATATGAGAAAAACAATCATTACAATGACCATAATATCAATAGTAATAATAATAATAATAACAATAAGTATAAAAGTTGAAAAAAAACATCATTTTTCAAACATTTTCAAAATTTTTTTTACAAATACAATTTTAACAACAAATATTATTTTTATTTCCATATATTTAATTATATTTAAACTAATAGTCAAAATTAAACTAGTAATCAAAATTAAGTATATATCCTCAAATTGAAAAATCTTTTTTATGTGTTCATTATTAAATAATTTTATAATTTTTAAGACTATTTAGAAGATGAATAAAAAAGATTTCCTTTTATTATATAAAAATGAACATCATAGCTTTAACAGAAAAAAAATTACTTTTTACCTTGCAAACATTTAATGATGTAAGTTGGTTTAAGACCTTTCTTCGAATAAAAGGTATAACAGACATTAAAAATCAATATTTCAGCATAAAGTTTTTGGTTAAGAGTATCTGTATATATTTTTCTCTTGCAGAATCCTTTGAATAGAGAATTATTGATTGCGTAAAAGCTCTTGTTGATTATTGTTATTTCAAATTGACCAACGACAAAAAAAATCGTCGTAAAGTAAATCTTGTCGACAGACGACTTTCGGTAAGGGATCGTCCATGAAGTACGTACGCCAAAAATTTTGAAATTTGCCCTCTCCCTCCCCCCTGTTGCCATGCGTACTTCTAACTTAGAATTATGTATGGTAACAGGGGGGAGGAAGGAGGCAAATTTTCGAAAAAGTTTATGGAAAAAAAAGTAGGTATACTTAAATTTGGAACTTGCACAAGCTCCAAACTTAAGTATACCTTGCCAAATGCCTAGAATATCGAAAAAATTTTGATGTTCTAGACATTTGGCAAGGTATACTTAAGTTTGGAGCTTGTGCAAGTTCCAAATTTAAGCATACCTATTTTTTTTTCCATAAACTTTTTCATTGGGAAAAAAGTTTTTTTTTTTTTTTTTTTTTTTTTTTTTGGGGGGGGGGGGTAATTCAAAAACGTACGTACTTTTTAAGAACTTGGGGGACTTAGAATTTCTAAGTCTTCTAAGTCTAATTTTTCTTAGAACTTTTAAGTCCTCCCCCACCCCTCCTTTACGGAAATGCTGCGAAACAATGGTGAATACCAAATAGTTACAAAAACAACGTTGAACGCACAGTTTTACGAATACGCACCCTGAGCCAGAACTTTAACCATTGCGCCACGACAGCGTTTTAGTTTTGAGATATAAATTTTTTGTTGATAAAGTGGATAGGAAAATTTTCCGAAAATTAATTAACGTCCCCTCCAGTGCATTAAACACTCGAGTTTACTGGGAGGCTTTCTAAAGAACTTTTTTTTTTTTTTTTTTTTTGACACAAAACGAGTTTGTTACTATTTTTTATTGATTTTATTTCAATTGATTTTATTTCAATTTTTATTGATTTTATTTTAATTGATATCTAAGTTTAGTTTAAAAAATTCAAAGCAAAGTATTTTCTAAAGGATTAGAACCAAAGTAAACTTTTATACTAGATAAAACTTATTTTTGTATTAACTCAACTTTATTATAATTTTATTATATTTTTTTTTTAGTTATCAATAATTATTATTTACAAATGAAGCGAAATCATGAAAAGTAACAACAGTTTGTGGTAAGAATTTATCGAAAATGCATATTTTAATTATTGACGGAGAGAGGCAGACAAGGATCCCTCTTTTCTGATAACATTCGCAACTATAGCTGCACCAGCCAAATTGAAAAGCGTGAATAAACTGTACTATTAAAGTTTACATTTATAACAGTCGAGTGATGGTGCGTTTACTGTGGTAATTAATAAAGAGTTCCAATTTTTAACTATTCGATTAGTGAAAAAATTACATCTTTCATAATGTTTTAAATTTTTTTCGATGGCTAGTTCATAGGCATAACTCTTTGTTCTTAAACTATACTTAGATCTTTGATACGCTGGTGTGGTTTGTGGCACCACAAAATTGATTGAATCAATTCCATTAATTATTTTATAATGCTGGATTAGATCTACACGCGTGCGACGTTTTTCAAGGGTAGTCAAATTAAGCCGAGTTAAACGTTCCTCGTATTTTATGTGACTTATTGAATCCATTTTGTAGTTCGATGTTGAATTCTTTCGATTGTATTTATATCTCCTATGAAATGAGGAGACCACGCCGGGGCGTCAAATTCTTATAATGGTTGAATATAAGTAGTGTATAGGAAACGCCAAAGAGTTAAACCGCGACTTCAGAATACTTTTTTAAATTTTCCTAGCAATCTATTTCCAGCTGCAGGTGCGTGCTCAGCTTGTAACTTTACTTTAAGATTATTGGATTATCAGACTTGTAATTAAGTCCGGTAAATCTTTAAATGTAGAGCATAAAAAGCGGACTAAATATCGAACCCTAAGGTACTCCGCTAAACACTTTTCTCCATGGCGATAACGTATTATCTATTTTGACACATCCCAACGGGCATTTGTTGGTTTAAAACTGGTTTAGATCACGTTTAGATGGCATTTACGTCGATCTAAATGTTTAGGAATCTATTCTAAACGTGTTCTGAATATTTAATTTGCGTTGAAAAGCTAAATCAAACAATTTCCGTACGGAACTAACTTAATTAAATTAGTTTCGCACAGAATGTGTCGGACATTTTAAATCTTTCATTGTGATTAAGAATTTCTTATGAATCTTAAATTATGTAATAAATGGTTAAGAAAAGATAAAAGAAATTTAATTTTCTTGCTTCATTAGCCACAATATAATACTAAAAACAATTGTTTTTAGTATTATATTAGCTAAAAAGTCCTGCAAGTTCTTCGATAATATTTTATAAGCGATTATGTTATAATATTTATACTTTTTTTAAATTGTGAGCTTCAAATGTTTATATAATGGATCTTTAGTTTTAGTGTAGGCTGAAAAAACTTTTTAAAGTTTTTTGTATTATTCATACTTCTATATAATGACCAATGAAGACAAAATAAATTTACTTACCTCTGATATAATAGATTATTATATTGTATCATTTATTTTCTCTTGAGTAGAAAAGTTAACATGTTTGAACAATAATATATATAGCTATATAACATAATTTTCTAAAATCCGCGCAAATATATTTTTTATAGTTAATTAAGTTTTGCGTGTTTAATTTCATTTAATATTTTATATACAGTCCAGTCAGTTGCAACAACAATTAAAGCAGCAGGAAACAGCCAAGTACACATGCAAGTAGTAAATTGATTTTTTGTGACGTTTTTACTCCTTTAAAATTTAGATTTTCTTAAAATGATAATTGAGTTAATGACTATTTCTGTAAAAATCATTCTGTAAATAAAATTTGCAATGATTTTTAAAACTAATAGTTATTTTTTTAGTAATCGCAAGATAAACTGCTAACTCTGTACTTTTAGACATGATTCTAATAGTTGAACATCTGTCAGATAATTACTTTTTAAATCATAATCTAATTGCTCAGGTTTATGAAAAACTATTTATAAAAATTCAACGCTTTAAAAATGATGTAAAATTAAAGGTAATTCCTGTTTTATTTGAAAGGTACGTTGACGATTGGTTCGAGTCTTTAAAGTTTAAATTAGTTAAAAGAGAGTTCAAATTGTTCTGTTTTTATCTTATGCTCTTTTATCTAAAAGCTATTGAAATATTTATTGCATTATTATTCATTTATTTTATTATGTTACGAAAGACCTACCAAGCCTAAAATTTTATACAAAAATTATACAAAAAGATTATGGATGTGGTACCGCAGGTATATTCAATTGATTATGCAAGTAAGTTGTCCTACTTTACATCTTTGAAAACTAATAATAATTGTAATGAACATATCTCAAACAATATACACTCGGATTTACATTTTAGTTAAACCATCACCACTTCCACAGCCACCTTGTCTCAAGCATTCAATTCCATTCAAAGATATCTTTATTCAAATCAAGTGTGACGACTATACCAAAAGACTGTAGAATGGATCAATCAAGTAAGATGTCTAAATTTATATCTTTTATATAGTACTCCTTTACTTTTAGATAAACCTGTTAATTTTATGACTTATGAACATATTTAGCAATGTTATTCTTTTAGGATAGACTTTTTAAAATCAAATTTACAATGCTTTAGTAAATTTTTATTTAAAATAACTACGTAATATATCTGTATAGTTATTTACATTGTAGCTAACCTATCAGAACTTGCAAAGTCTCCTTTTCTATTAGCCCGAAAATTGAGTTCTAAAATACCATTATTCACATAACTACTTTATCAAAACACAAAATAATGGATTGATTAAGTAATACTTAATTTTTAGCTTGAGTTGTGTGTTAGTACATATATGCTTTTAATATATAAATTTTAATTATTATGTTTAATGATTAGCTTTTAACTTTAAGAATTACAATTTTATTTATACATGTTTATTTATGTTGTAGTGAAACTGACGCTATCTCCACAACTTTTCCATTGAATTGAAAGTTTCAATCAAACAGGATACTGAGTGTGCCTACTGCTCCTTAAGACAATGGATAATGGGAGTTATCAAACTATAAATATATATATATATATATATATATATATATATATATATATACATATATATATGCTGTACAAATATTGTTATAAAGTAATAGAATACTATATCATATTGTATTACTATGTTTAGGAAGGGCACTGTAGTTGTCCTGCATTTATGCAACTTATCAACTGATTATCAACTCATAACTGCAATAACTACAAGTTTTTTAATAACGTTTTTATTATATAAATGTTATATATTTTACAGAGTTTTAAAGAAAAGTTCTCTATCAATTGTTACTCAATGTTCACTGTACTAACGTACAATCTTCTAAAATCTATATAACTACGACGGATTTATTAGTTGTTGAATGGATGAATTATATGAATAAAATGAAGAGGTTTATTGAGTTATTTTTAGAAAAGAGATTGTATGATTTCGATATCCGTAATACGGTATCATGCATTGGTTCCTATCTTAGAATGGCTCCCTTCCGTATAGGTGGAAATATGAAAGGTTAAGTCCTTTTTTCTAATTCTTAAGAGGAAGAGGCTTAATAGGTTCAAGCAAAGTTGACGATGATCATTATGGAGCCGATCATGAGGAATACGATAATGCATATAATAATATAACGATTTTACTTGTATTTTAAACTTTTATGAATGAAAAATTATCCGTTTGTCGTTCAATTTGTTTACAAGTATTTAGATAATGCGTTCAGCGTTTAACTTTTCTTTACAGTGCTTATTTATAGCAGCTTAAATAAAAAAGGAAATTTCAATTCTTTTTTTAATTTTTCTTTCATTTATGCTTCTTTAAATCAGAGCCGCAAAAGTTAAACGTCGCGAAGTTTAAAGCGAAAGATTTAGATGGAGTTTAAATAGCGTTTAAAACGAACCACTTAGATATGGTTTAAATGGAACATTCAATTGACCTACGTTTTAGATCGAAACTAAATTAAATGTAAACATTTAGAACGAACATTAACTTAACGTTGATTAAATTTTTGAATGCTGGGATTGTTTTACCAATTTTTTATCCAAATGTGTATTTGACATTGAATGCCATATGCCTTCAGTTTATGCGTTTCGTCAGTTTCGTGCGGTACCTTATTAAAAAATCTGAATAATTTAAAACCCTGATTGACGGCATCCGTAATATCCCGTGAATAAATGGCTTAAGAAAAAAATATTAATCGTTTTGCTTTTACACAAGATCTAGCTTAAATATAACTTTAAGGGTTACACAAGCGCAGTCGCCACCGTAGGAGCAAACAGCATTATTATAATTGATTACAAATTGCATTTACAGGTAAAATATTATTATTCTCTTTAGTACTTAGAGCTTGAAAGGTTCGCATCTTTCAAGCTTAAGAAAAAACTTAAACAAGAGGATTGGGACGGCAGCTACAGATATATATTATATTACCAATGACTGTTGGACTATGACAATGACTGATGATATTGGACTCGATCAAATTAATTGATATAAATTATTAAAAGTATTAAAGATTCAAGTAAAGCTCTAAGGAAAATTTGTGACAAAAAGCAAAAAAAAGAAGAGCTTAGTCTCCTTCATAACTAATATCATAATATTAACGAGTGAACTATTTTACGCGCTCGCCAATCAACGGAAAAGAAATCCGTAAGCTATGCAAATATTTTGCTCCACCTTTAGACTTAAAATATCAATAAATACTAAAATCATATAGATTTTTCTCCTTCAGGTTTCATAAAAAGATCGTTCAGTCCTTTCTCTTTTGTATCTAAAAAAAATAAAAAAATAAAAAAATAACTGTTAAACTGAAAAACCTTTTTTTTTTCATTAAAGAATATTTCTAAAATTTATATTTAAAAATTTGCAAGCAAGAAATAATATGCTTTATTTTATAAAAATTATCATTTGGGTTTGTAAAATAGTTAAACATTACTTTACACATATTTCCAGTTGTTAAATTAAATAACTACTTAAAACTTATTTAAGTTCCCAGTTAAGATTTGTATCTTGCTGTAACCTCTCCTTGCCTTAAAAACAAAAGACATAATTATGACTTTAAATCAATCACGTATTAGTCAATCAACTAAAGGCTATTAAAACTTAAACTATTTTAAGTTTTAATAGATTTTTAGCAAACTAAATATGTATAACTCTGCTAATGTAAATACCATCATCACTTATGTAAAAAACTTTAATAAAAAAAAGAGCTTTCTCATTCGTTGGCTCTGCTGACTTTTTGTTTACCTCTTTACATAAAACATCATTATATCTATACGTTTAACATCAATATTTTGCAGTCCTTTTAAAGTATACTTTTGGTACAATATCAATCTTTAAATATATAGAAAGTAGTCACTGGGAAACTTCATTGAAGAAAATAACAGCAGATGCTGCAACTATTTCTAATGAATCTCTTTCTGTAAGAACTCTTTTTGAAAATTTGGTCCATATCATACCATTCAGAAATTATTTAACATTTTGAGTATTACATTGTATTGGATTTCTATACAAACATTTTTCCTAGCAGCTTTTCGTCACAAGATCCTGATATGAAAAGATTGGTTTAAGAATAATTGCAACTGCCACAGGAATAGTTATGTTAGACTTATAAGTGTTTTTGCCTGTTGCTAGGTCAGAGTTATATCTGCACCAAGATTCAAATTATTTTAGACAAAGTATGTATCATTTTCACAGCTAGTAAGCATCTGGGGTTGATATTTGTTCAGGGCCGGGTTTGATAAAATATTGCCAGGACCTATTTTGGGTTGGGTTTGTAACCAGGGCTGCATAAACATTTATACATCCCAAAGTTTCCTTTTTTTATTCAAAATTCATGCTATATTTTGTGTGTATATATTAATGCATATATAAACATCATTAAGCCTCATTTCACTCCATAACCAAATAAACCTAATCTTCAGGGTGATCAGGGTTATGGTTTTGGCCCTAACTTAAAGGAATAAATTATTCCTTTAAGTTAGGGCCAGGTAGGATTCAAAGATTTCAGGACAGGGTTGCCACTATAATTTTTAAAGTTTTTCCCTGAGTAAAGAACGTTTTCCCCTGAATTGAACTCTTTAAGTTTTCTGACTTTTATATATTCTTTCCTGCTCATCAACAAGATTAATAATTTCCTTATTTATTGACAATCTTTATATTTGATAAGCTAAAACTTTTACTAAAACACACATATCTTGCAAAATTATTATATGTATTTGCAAAATATTTTTGAAAAAAAAAAAAAAAATATTGTACAAATTTCAAAAAACCCCTGAGTTTTCCAGGTTTACCCTGGGATTCATGCTATTTTCAGGTATTCCAGGTTAAGCGACAACCCTGCAGGAACTTCCAAAACAGTCCCTACTGGTAACTGTAGTAATTTGAGTGTAACTTATGATAAAATTGGGTAAGTTAAAAAAATAACTAAAAAATTGACTATTATTATTGATAGAATGTAAGAAGAATTCTTGCATTAACAATATCACTTGAGTAGAATTTGTTTGCTCCAAATATTTAAAAGCATTTTGAGTAAAAAAAAAAAAAAAAAGTCCCTTCCTAGATACATATAGTTTACAACTTCAGTTAGTTTTTAAAAGTTTCACGCTAAGTTTTCCAAGTTTTAAACTCGTTGTAACTATTAAGGTGTTAAACTCCACATTTAGTTTACAGCATTTCAATTATTTCATTTTATTATTTTATTTAAAACTACATTCTCATATTTTTTTTGTGGACATAATTTTTTCGAAAAGTTATCTCAGATTCTTTAAAAATCCTGTTAGATTTGTTTAACAAGTTAACAAGAATTATAAGTAATACTACGGGGCAGAAGTTATATAAAAGTCGAAACATTTCTGTTTAGTAATTTATTCAAACGACTATAAAGAGATTATGTAAGTGAATTGCTATGAGTGAAAACTTATAAGAAAACTTCGATTTTAATGTTTTTACTGTTTATGAAAAGATAAAATTAGAGGTTTTTAATAATTTATAAAATATTTTAATGCTGTAAACAAGGAGACTTTTTACTTTTAAATGAGACATTTTTTGAATGTAAATACTTAACACACTTGTTTCAGCTGTTTTTATGACGCTGCCCCATAGTATTTTATGTACTTTATTAGTAGTTTTGCTTTGCTTGATGCTTTGATTAAAAAAATATTTATAAAAAAATATTAAATTATAAAAGAAAAACTTAAATTCTACTTTTTAAAAATATATAACAGTAAGTCAAAAATAAGCAGATAACACAAAAAAATTAAAATTTAAAAACAAAAGTTTTGGTTTTTAAGAAATGCAAATCATTCGGATCTCCCCTTAACTGAGTAGTGCCTGTAATGTATAGAAAATGTAAAATATATAAAGTATATTATAAAAAAAAAAAAAAGTGAACTTATATCATACACAATTTTGAAAATAACTTTCTTGGTTCAGAATAAAGAAACAAGAAAGTTGCAGAATAAAGTGGCACTAGATACCCTTAAATTTATTACTAGTATGTTTAATAATACTAAATTTTAATTCTTACCATTACTCTGCAGCAGCCATAGCAACATCTTCTTCCTTATGCTTGCCTTTTTCTTGTAGATTTTTTTTGCTTTTTCTATTTAAAATTTTCTTACGATCAGGATCTAACTTTAGTTTCACAAGTTCAACCTAAATGCATACATTTTTTTAAATAACAACAATTAGAATTAACAATGATTAAAAACTAGCAAATAATAACAATCTTCTGATGATTTAGGAATTTTCAGAAAACTTTAATTAGAAGATATTCAATATTCAAAAAGCATGCTAAAGCTACATGCCTTGTGAATTTTTTTAAATTGAAAATGACTAATATATTAGTTTTGTTCATTTGCTATAAGAAAATACAATTAAACGTAATTAAATAGAAAATTGAAATAGGTAACTTTCAAGTCATTTTACTAATAAACAAAAAATTTTAGATAACTGTAACATTTAGGTTACAATAATAATTTTATTTTACAAAAATGTTTTAATAAAAAATAGCAAATTGCCCCACAACAAGATTTTTTACACTAATTTTAGTGCCACACACAACATATCTTATTGACTGTAATGAAAACTTGAAAATTTTTGTTTTGCTTTACTACGATCGCTATTAACAGCAACAAATTTAATTACGAAACGCATTTCACAACCTATTGTCATTTTTATACAAGACAATATAAAATTTAATTGTAAGAACCTTGCTAGGATGAATTCCAACACTAACAGTTGCTCCATTAGCTTTTTCTCTTTGAACTCTTTCAATATGCAAAACCCATTTTTTTCGGTAGGCACTGATAACTTTTCCTGGTTGAGTACTTTTAAAGGGTCCACGTGTAACAATAACTTCGTCGTCTTTTCTAACAGGTAAAGAACGTACAGAGTATTTAGTTCTAAGTTCTTTAGACAAAGGAGCACTCATCAACTTTCTTCGCACGCTGCTTGGAGCAGAGAAGTGAGCTTTTCGACATTTGCGCCTTGAAGAAGATACCATACTATTTTTCTTCATTTTAGTGTAAATAGGCCGCTCTGTCTATAACACGAAGTTTAAAAAGAACATGGTGTCTAAATATCACAAAATAAGCGGCCACGAAGAGGCTGGAAACTATACAAATCGCACAACATTAAATACGGCCTGTGTAAAAAGGACATGATCTTGAAACATTAAAATTTATTTACATTAGAACACTTTTTTGAAAAGACACACTGCTTTCCTACTATTAGAGAAATTTAGCTATTAACAATTAAAAATAAGCAAATTCAACCTGACTCAAATAAATTATTGTTGTTTTTTTAATCAGAAACGATGCTACTCATTGTCAAAAACTACCCAATGAGTGGTGTAGATTTGGGTGACATTGGAGAAAATCTAATATATAATAATAAGTGATGTTTCTTAAAATGTCATTTCAGTAAGGTTTTCTTTTTAATTAATTGAAAAAAAAATCACAAAATTAAACCAAGTTTGAAAGTTGAAAAATTAAATTCAAATGTCCAGAATCTCTTGACATGCTTCTTGCATTGTTTGACAAAGAAAGTGTGTCAGAGACATTTGCAATAAACGCCGACAACTTGAACGTTTACAATTGACAATTATATTTAACTTGGTTGATGAGTTTTTACTTTTTGAATTTTGCATCGTCCTAAATTAACAAAAATTCATCATTAAATTTAAGGGAACCTTCAAAGCACTCATAATCTTGACATTGAAAATTTAGACAGTGTTTTAAATTCAAATAATAAAAGATTTCAAATAATAAGAGTCAAGACTAGCCCAAAGTTAGGAAAATTTTCTGGAACTTTAAATTCGAAAAAATCAATTTTCAGAACAGAACAATTTTTTAAATGTGTGCCATTTTGAAAACATAGTTTTTAAAGTGATTGACTATCTTGTCAAACCCATATTCTGACGTTAAGAGTCCTTCACATACGCATACTGGTTACTCATACATTGACTGACTTAAATAGGATTATGCACATTGAGTATACATACACTGACTGAAGGTTTTAGTTTGGGATAATAGTCTTGCGATTAAAAAGATAATTTTTTTTTATGTTTACAGACCTCAAGGATACCGTCGGATTAGGAGTTTGACAAGAAAGCCTATTTTTTAAAGTTGCATGGAAATAATCTTGTTCCTAACGAACTAAATTATTATCAACCATCATCTATTGTAGCGAGGTCTTTGTAATTATAATAGGATTACAATTTTATTATATCTAATAATTTCTTGAATTATCATAAATAATGACAATGATATAATATTTGCATACTTTCAATCCATAAAATAAAAAATGGCTTCAAGAACTGGAATAAAGAAACATCATAATAAAGTATATATCTTTTATTAAGATTTTTTAAGGTATATATCTTTTATTAAGACTTTTTAACACTAATAAGGTTAAAAATCAATATAAACAAATAGATTACTACACAATAATATTATTTTTGTTTAAAATTAAATTTAAGAATATAAAATGTGTAGACAAATTTAAACTATCAATTTTTTTTCCATATATTTTTACAAGTTTTAACACTATATAGTTGTATTCCAAATACCTTTAATATGACTAAAATAATATTAAGATATATGTAATTTAGTATAATAAAATAAAATAGAATTACAATTTATAATTTGAGTAAACAAGATAAGACTCAATAAATAAACCTTTATTTATGTAGTCAAGGGAACTCGCTGAAAATTGTGTGAGTTGTTGTTATCAAAAACCCTTTTTTTAATTAATTTTATGAGATTCTCATAAGTATTTTTTTTATGACTTATTATACTTTTCAATGTTGTTAGTTGTGTTATGAAACATAACATAAGCACAACATATGTATAAGTATGTATATACATACTTATACATATACATACTTGTTTATATGTTAAAGTTTTGGATTGTTGACATGTTTTTGATACTCATTAGGTACTAGAAAAATTCCATATAGTTGTGTAGATCGAAAATGAGAAATTTATGTTTTTCAGAAGAGATAGTAAGAAAATTTTTGGTATTAATTTGTCATATCAGTTTCTCACCCATTAAATTGCTTTTTATTAAACTTAATACTCTCAACGTACTATTACTTAAACTTTATTATATTCTTATTCTTATGTTCAAAGCTGATAAAAAAAAGTGACATCATATTTAACTCAATTTTGAAAAAATAAATCATTTATATCCAACACGTCTTTCAGTAAGCAATTACAAGCAATTACACCTAAAACCTACTTTTCTGCTACTGAGTTTACAGTTGCAAATAAACTAAAGAACACGCTTTTGAATATTAAGCTAAAAAACTTTTTTACACAGTTTATAAATAGACTTAAGCAAAAACTTTTGATAAATGACAATAAATTATATTTCCTCTAAAATTTTTAATTAGGAGTAATCTCGATTGTTTTATTCAATTTTTTTGTTTATTTATCTTTTATTCAACTTTTTAAAAAATAAAACAAGTTAAAAAAAATCATATTAAAATTCTTTTATATTTGTATTTATTTTTATACTTTTGGATATAATACATTGTAATATATGGTAGTATATGTCTTCTAATTTGATGAAGTTACGTTGTTTTTGTATTTTTATTATTGAAACTTTTATTTTAAGGGGCTCGGCGATAAGACTAAATTTGTCTTCATGCTCCAGCCATTTTTTTGTATGTTGTACAGCATGTGCACAATCACCTCCCATTATTATTATCTTAAATATTGCAATTTTCGTTACACAATTACCCAGCACCTAATACAAGTGAATGCGATTCGAGTTTTAAACTATATTTTTATTTTCGGACCAAATTATTTAAACCTGATTTAACATTGGACTGTCGGATCAATAACGTATTAACTGATCTGATGAATTTTCATACACACTTTCCAAACGAGCGTGACAAGGAGCGTGGTTTGTTATGACGACCAAATCCTTTAAACAATTCACAGGTGTGGCGAAACATAGCCAACACGTTTCAAGAATCTGTATTAAATGATCTTCTGCAAAGCTGCAATCAAATGTATGTTTAAATCTTTTTGAAGCAGGAACTTTCATTTTTGCTCTTCTTCCTTGACTGGCGCGTCCAAGAAAGAAGAAAGGCGTAAACTTATCTAATGATATAAATAACCGGTACCAAATGCTAAAAATAGGTTTGCTATTGAGTCCATTTTACAAAAACTAAAAGAAAAAGTAAAGCAACTTCAAAATTAACAATTCAAAAAGGAAAGACGAATCTTTAAAACTTGATCTTCAGTAGCTCAATTAAAATCAACTTTAGTGAAAAAACATTCCTTGAAAGAAAACATAAATATTGAAATCAGAGATGTTGCATTTGCCTTAGATGCTAACAGATGTCATGAACGGAAAAAGAAAATTCTTGATCTCTTAATATAGATTTTTGAAAATCTGATTGTTGGTATAAGTTCAAGAAACAGAAATTTGGCGGGAAATATAGCAAGAAAAGAAAAAGAACATTTTAAGCAATTGTGTTAGAAATTAAACTGTACCATAAAACCCAAAAATATTAACTTTAAAATGATTCCAATAATAGACAAAATAAGATAAAAATTCTAACATGGTATACTTTTGCAAAAACTATGATGTGACTATGCTGCTTGCTTCAATTTTAAAGCAAAGATCCGACTAATGAAAGCTATTGAGAAAGATCCCATGTTGCAAGAAAATTATGGCAAAATGGGCACCTATGAGTATGTTTTAAAGCAGATTTTCGGGTAACTGTAGCATTTATGGGATAAAGCAACTTACTTCTGTTAATGAAGTAGGTTTAGATTTGTTTGTAAATAAGCATAAGTTGAAAGGTAATGACTCCGTAATTTCATTTATCAAGAAAATGGATCGGAGTTACTTACCACTTTTATCTCGCTTATTACGTGAAAGCTTTTCTAGAAAAATAATAACGTAGCTGGAATATGGATGAATTCTACAAAAACCTCTCCTCCTCTTCACTTTCCAGAAAATTTAGTATGGCTTTTCAAAAATGGAAAATACCATACAAAATGGTTTAATCGTGAAATGGTTCCTAATTGAGTTGATGTTGATGCTCAGGTAATGACAATTCAGATAAATATAACGAAGAAGAAAAAGAAAGATTTGATATGCACCTTCGGTTTTAAAAATTTATTGAAAATATAAATTAAAAGGCATACTTATAAATAAAAAAACATGGCAAAACTTATAAATAAGAGTTACGAAAGTATATTTTTTTTAACAAAATGTTATGCGCCGCTGAGTTACGTCTTCATAACTCATCGGCACTGTTTCATGTGCAGCATCACAAAAAAAAATTTCTAATCTATCATCATTAGGACCTCTAATTAATACTTTTTTTTAATGTTGTTTACATACCTAAGTCCAAGAGGGCCACTACATTCGGGGAGGCTACTTTTGTGGTTACAAGCCTCTCTCAACTTTTTAATTCAGAAACATGAACCTTGACAAACAAGATTGCTGCGCGGAGAAACAAGTTGAGCGCGGTATTAATAGAGACTCGTGGGGATCGAACTCAGAACTTCTCGCTTATGAAGAAAAAGCTCTACCACTATACCACTATCACTTAAGGTTCATTATTGATGTAACACAACAGTGTTTAAAAAATCATAATACAACAATGTTGGTAAAATCTGTTGTGTCTTGTTTTGTTTTTTTATATGCTTCAGAGCTGGATTAATTTAAACATGGTTTTGTCCCAAAATTAAGTTATTTCTAAAACTAGTTAAGTTGGAACTTTTCTTTAGTTTCAGAAATATTGTTAAATTTTTTTAACTTACCTGAATTTTCAGATTCAAGTTAGTAAATCCTTTTATAATGATGTCGTTGTGATACTTTAAACCTTTACCAACAAAAATATGTTGAACAGTGTTTTCAATAAGTCAATTATTTCTTATATTTTTAAAGAAACATACATTACCAAAGGTTAACAAAGATCCTCATTTGTTTATCTTAAAATGGTCTTCTAAATATATTTAGAATGCATAATAAGTTCTATTTCCAGCAAGTATTACATTAAAAAATCTAGCTGTTGCCATAGTAACCAAGTATTATAGCGAATAGCCCAGTACATGTTACCCAATGT